AAAAACCTCCAAATAGTCTTTGGGGAATGCTGCTAGAGTAACCATCCTTGGCCAAGAATGAATCTGTGTTCTTCCGGTTACGCAGACCCTACTGTAGTGGGAACAATAAACACAGCAGTAACCAGCAGTAAAATGTTATCCATAATTTAATTATTTGCAAATAATTCATTCACGATTGATTAATTCGAGAATAAATTGCTTATTCGTGATTTTATTCGTTATTTGAAATAATATTTATTCATTCATTCACTTATAGCACACTGATCGACGATTTGATTTTTTATTTCCTTAGTGTTTTATCTTGAATATTACTTGTTTTATTTTCACTGATTATTCGAATAACGAATAAAGTAATTTATCCTTCACTCGAATAATTTTTCATATAGATACTAAATTATTTACAAATAACGAAAACAATATCTTTTGGGGAATGATGCTGCAGTGACAGTCCTTGGCCAGATATGAATCTGGGTCGTAGACCCTTTTGTCGTGGAAACGGGAACATACCAGTTATAGATGTCGGTTGTATAAACAATAGCACGAGTCAGTTTTTAATTTTTGGGTAGTTGGTAAAGGCAACAAAGCCTAAAGCTGCCTTTACACGGGTCGATTTTTGTCGACTGGAAAATCGACTGAGAAATCGACAAGCCAAAACACTTTCATTTTACGGTTGAATTGCTACCGTCGATTTGGGTTGAAGGACAAAAATCGACCCGTGTAAAGGCAGCATAAGGTTTTATACTCCGTGAGTCTAAAATGTTTTGAGTGTGCAAAAATGTTTGCTCATACAAAAATATTGTTCGTGAGGCTTGGGTTTGTTTTGTGAAAAATGATAACGTCAAAGTGCGCAGCACGAATTTCAAGCCAAATGCCGTTCCGGGCAATTGTTAAACCAGACATTAGACTCTTGAAGTAGCTAGTTCTTGATCTTAAAAAATCTTTAAACAAGTGACACATGTGCCCAAAACAATCCAACATCTTCAATTGAAAATCACACTCTCAATCGCTTAGAATTTCATGTGTTTGCATTACAAGAATCCACTTCTAAAGTATTTGGAATGGAATTTACCGTGACGAGTGAGTACCAAATCTCGTCCAATAAAATAAATGGCTTACTAATCGTTCACGTTTTTCAGTGTATTTTAGTATTGCTCGTTTTATATGCTTTATGCTCATTTTCGTTTCACGAAGGAATTCTAGAGCTTAATTAAGCGCCACTTACTCAACAACTGATAATAAAAAATTTATTTGTTGGCGACTTTTATTGAATAAATAAAAAAAAAAATATATGTATAATTTTCTTTACCAAAATTTTTTTTTTTTAGGAAGTATAAAATATACAACCCTACAACCCATTTTAAGCTTAATTTTTAATTTCATGCGGAGAATTGAAATAATATCCACTAAAAAATGCAAACGAAATAATAAATACATAATTCCATAACATCACATCTAACTCTATTCCACACGACGGCTTTAAGTTTACTATATAATTTCTTTTTTAAAACATCACATAAATGAAATTGTAAACATTAATAATAATAATATTGAAATAAGGTATAATATAAAAATTATAAATTTATTAAAAGGGCAATAGTAGGAGATATCGAATTATATAAATTCTCTAACTGTTTAGCTATAATAAAAAATATTAAACGAAAATAATACATACGAAAATAATAATAAAATAATTAGAGTAAAATTTTGAAAACCCTTGTCTGAAAAAACTGCAGCGTTGTTTTAGATTTTCTCCTGTATTCTCCACAAAAATAGTATCTAATAAAGTTTTTCAGATCTGTCATATTGAGAAACTTTAACATATGTTGTTTATTTCTACGTTTTTTTTTAGTTTTTGTATTGGCTAGGCGACAAAATAAAAAAAAGTGATATTTATAAACTAGATATTTTCAAAACTCATTATTAGTTACATATGTACGAATGTACATACCACATACGCATATGCCTAATGCGAAGTACGTAGTAGAAGTGAGTGATCTGCTCTAAAATTTAGATAATCTACATACATGTGTGAACGCACTATTATACTGAATGTTGCCTCCCAGTTTAATGCAAGCTAAGTACACTCACTACTATCGAAAAAAACTACAGTTTTAAAATCGGCACCGATTTTTTGAACCTACGTAAAAATTTAGAACCATAATTCAAAAAATTTAATCATTTCTTTTAAATTTGTAGCTGTTGCAATATTAGCGTGTATACATATATGTACATGTTTTGTAGTTTAATGTTTCAAATAAGGAAGAAAAAATATAAACGTAGTAAACAAATGTATATTGAGTATATAATTACGATTCCATCCGTCAAAAAAATCACATGTAATGAAAAAATTCACACAATCGGCCATAGTTCCTTATCAACCACGATTTCACATTAACTATTATTAACAGGCAGAATTTGAAACCATTTTTTTAAGGCATAAAAGTATATCTCATGCCTAAAATTATGCACTCTTTGTTTTCACTAAAAGAGTTATTTACCATTCAAGTTAAAATTTCTTGCTGTAAAACAAAAATACATATTTAAAAAAAAAAAATATGCAACGCTGTTGCTATTTATAAATAAATGGCTACTACCGCAACTTGTTTACTTTATCTTAACGTTAAAAACACAAAACCAAATTAAAAACTTAGAAAATACTGAATGTACTATTTATTAAAACACATTGCATATACTCATAATAAGCAAAATTACAAAAAATTCAAAATTTTCGAAAATTGTAACACCAATAGCACAAGAACATGAGAATAAAATCTTAGAGCAGCATTAACATAAGTTTAAAAAAAATATTTACATATGTACATAAAAATACAAAATATGTAAAACTAAAAAAAAAAATATTAAATTACGAATAAAAATAAAAGAATAAAATCTTGCATACTAAGTACGTACTATATAAAAATAAAAAAATTAAAATAATATACATACATATTAAACGCATGCATATGTATGCAAAATAATATCACACACCTTTTTCAAAAGGGGCACAAATAAAAAACATTTGGTAGATTTTTTGCATAAATCAATTCGTAGGATGTATCTCCAATTAATGCAAACATTTTTTTCGTGAGTATATTCTCTAACTAAAAAACTGCTCTTAAAGCTGCAGTTATATTTTCGGATCTGATTTTTGAGTTTGCCTCTTTTTTTTTACTTGTATATCGCACACTCACTCCTCAAAAAAAAAACAATTCTTAGGATTTATCTTCAATTAATGCAAATATTCTTAATGGTTATATTCTCAACTAGAAAACTACAGTTATGCCCGTTTTTGTATTAATTGCGTTAAGTATTAACGTTCCGGATCTGCTTTTTGATGTGTGCCGCTCTTGAAAGGGGTGTGCAATATGTATGTACATGCAAAAATACCAAAAGCTGTAAAATTAAAACAAAAAACTATTAAATAAAAAATGTCTAAAGAAAAAATAGCGGCAGTCCCTATCAAGAAACAAAAGCGTGTAGCACTTTAGTAAAAATAATTTAATTATATAAATGCATAATTACAAAAATAAAAATATAATAAAAAAATGCAAAGACGGTTAATACACAAACAAATAAATTCATAATAAAATATATAAAATTTCCAAATACATTATTACTATAAAAAATAATAATAATCATAATGAGTCTACAAAAAATGGAAAAAAATATTGATATGAAAATATTCAAAACTCTAAAATTAAGTAAATAAAACCAATCTAACTGATAAGGGTAAAAACAACAGCAAAAAACGTAAACCAGGAAATCCAAGTAACAGAAAGGAAATGTGTTAAGCGTTGAAGATGTGTAAAAATAATAAATATGCAACAAAAAAAAAACACAAAATAGGGTTTCAATTAATGTGAGGTTAGGTAGAAAATTGTGTTAACAGCTGTCCATGTAGTGCTTCTCCTGCGATTTGCTATGTTTAATTGGCTTTCTTTTAAAAAAATTTTAAATTAAAAATGGTTTTCTATGCTTTTGATGACTTCTGTCTTTTTGAAGCTCAGAATCCAGGTAAGATATTGTTGAGAACTTTGGCCTGAAAATATTTTCGATCAGAGTTACCACGCGTCTATGTAATACAAATTTTTATTTTGGTAGTTTAAATAAGGATTTTTTTTGAATGTGCACACAGTGCATATACGCTCAAGATATGTACTATTAATTCCAGCGTATTTTTAAATAGGGTTGCCATCTAAATTTTCAAGTGAGGAATTTGCTTACTTAATAGATATCGAAATCCAATTTTTTTTTTATTTATTTCCAAAATATTTTTTTAAAGCTATTTGGATAGACCAGGATTTGATATCCAAACCTTGAAAACTTTAAAATATATATGCACTTCGAGCAAAGCTCGGTCAACCTGGTACTTAGTCAGTAAGTGTAAACACAGCCTAGTATTAGCTTTTCCTTAGGCTAAAAACATAGTGGAGTGGCGAGCAAAGCGACGATTGCAAACGCGAATGTATCAATTCGAGAGCGCACATAGTGAGTAGTAAAGCATAGATAGCGTAAAAGAGCATGGGGCCGATTTTAAGATATGTATTTTATATTCTTCGATATGCTTAAAATAAAAACAAAAATTATGAAAAAGTATTGTAGCATTAATTCTTCTAATTATTTTCCATTTTTCATTTCATTAAATATTAATGGCAGGTTTATAAATTGAAAAATATATGAAAACATAAATTTAAAAAGCTCTTTAAACCTACTTTATTTTTTATGAATAAGCACCATAAATATGTTCATATAGGTCTGCATTTTTTTCTTTTAAATAAATACATTTTGAATAAAATGAGAAAATTTAATCGCGAAATTTAAAATTATTGTGGTTGTTATGGTTTTAGCAAATCGTTGCTCTTTCGATGCTTCGCGCGATGTTTTCGCTCACCGCTCCACTATGTGCTTAGCCTTAATTATTATTTTTGCCCCTTCAAGCGATTCAGCCTGATGCTTCATTATTTTTTTTATTAAATACTGTCAATTAATGCTCCCGAAAATATTGTTCAGTTCTATGCAATCAATGCAAATTTTATTTATAATCTCTTATAAATACAAAAATTTTCAAATATCCTTATTTTGTGGTATAAATGTATGTATAAAAAATGCTCAGCATTATACATTTACGTATTTTTCACAGTACTGCGAATCTCATGGCGAAAAATATTTGCAAAAAAAAAGAATAAAAACACACACAAAATGGCAACAAATTTCTAGTTGTTTCAACTATTTTCTTTTTTTTTGCACAACATTTTAATAACCTCAGAGACAATTTAGACCATTGCGTATATTTTATCTAAACCCCATCAACAGCAAGCGATCCGCTCCTAGTCTTGCTCCCATCAACCCAGCAGCACCTTGCGCATCATATAGCCACTCGCGCCGCTCGACTGTGGACGTTCCGGCTCCGGTTCGATGCACTTCGAGGAGCAGAGATATTGCAGCAGCGGCACACGATACTTGCCGCAGAAGTCCACGAATTTGATGTGCTCAACGCGATTGTCGAAGAAGACACCCTTGCATTTGGGGTTCACGCAACAATTGGCGCTTTGCAGGTAATCGTTGACGGTGCGTGGCACAATGCCCGGACCATAGGCAATGCCGGTTCCTTTTACAACGCGTGCGGCGAATTCCATCAGCGTGGGCGGCTTCATCGCGATGTCCTGTACGAAGCGCACCACCAGCGGATTGTCACGCAAGCTCAGCTGTAATGAGATCGGGAGAGAGAGAGAGCGCAAAGACAGTTTTTGTATGAGTAAAATTATGTGAAATTATTTTGAAAGCTTTCAGAGCTCACCTCTGTTAAATTTTTCAAAGCAATTATATCCTTGGGTAAATGTCTCAGCCGATTCTTGTGCAACAACAGCGATTTCAGATTTTCCAAGTGCGCAATGCTGGTCGGTATTTTCTCGATTAAATTATCACAGAGTACGAGCGCCTGCAATTGGCTGAGGGAACCCACTGCTTCCGGTACATCACTGATGAGATTGCCGCCTAGCGAGAGTACTTGTAAGCTGGAATTGGAAAAACGTGTACAAATTATTATTCCGAATATCAAACAAGACAAAGAATACTTGAAGTTATTTGCAGGAGTTAGAAAACTGCAATGCGCTTAAAAAATGGAGGCCCATCTCGAAAATTGTATGTAGAATAAAAAAAAACCGGAACTATTCCAAATAATTATTAAAGAGGGATGCTAACTTTATATGTAATTAAAAAATAATAAAACGTAGTATTAAAAATATTTCCAATTAAAAAAAATACATTACTGAATACCTTTTAAACGCGAAGACGTTGAATCATAAAAAGCAAGTTAGAAAAACTGCTTGGGTAAAATTAAAAAAGTACTCTGATTTCTTACAAATATCGCTAAAAAAATATCTTACAAATTATAAAAAAATCACTAGATTAAAAAATATTTAAAAAAAATTCAAGGAACAATTTATTTAATATTAATTCGACTGCTAGAGACGAAAAAAAAATTTCAAAATTTATTGTAAAGATTAAAAGAATTTTAATTTTTCAACAAATTTAAGAAAAGTTTAGCTCTCCAGTTTTTTTTATTTTTCTATGTGATAATGAAAAACCGAAAGTCGGTAGAAAAAGAAAATAACTTTCGTTTGCAAATTAGAAAAAATTAAATTAAAAAATTTTGGATTTAATAAAATACATTTGAAAAAAGTTTTTTTTTCAAAAATGTAAAGCTTATTGCTTTGAGAAATAATTAAATTATTCCCAAAATAATTTTAACACAATAAAAAAAAAAATACACACAGCTAAAGTGGCAATTAAAATATACCAATTTCAAAGTGAATAAATTGAAGCAAAAAAAGCGGTGCAGAAGAAACGAAACAGAAGTCTAGGTATTGAAAATTTTTCTAAAAAAAAAATACAAAATTCTTGTTATTTGAAAGCTTGAAGGGAGGGAAAATATTAAAATGACATTCTAATTTAAAATCTGCCTTATCCTGAGTTTCGCCAGAAAGAAAAATTCACCCGAAAATTTGTCATTCGCCCATAGTAAAACCATGGAAATCAAAAGTGAAAAGTGAACCGGCTCTGGGAAAATGAAACTCATGATAAGTCTGAAAATGTTTTTCTCTAAAGATGGGCAAACAATTTCTTTTGTAAAAAACTGAGTACCAAATAATTAAAAATAAAACAAAGAAAAAAAAATCAAATTTATTTTTTTTGTTTAATAATTTTAAAGAAGAAAAGAAAAAATTTTCTCAAAATTAGATGTTCCTAAAAATGTAAAGTTGTGTGCAAAATAACGACCAAATTCAAAATGATATTAGGCCCTATGATGAATGTCGTCATCTTCGACGATCGTCAGCGCATCAGTAAAATGGCTTACGATGGCTGTATCGTCACTTTTACTGACGATGACGATATTCAGCTCAGGCCCGATTGTTTGGAACTTATGTTTGTTTATTAATTTTCTTTAAAAAAATAGGTGAAAATAACGCTTAATAAAATCAAATAATTTGCATTACTACGCATCATGCTCAGAGTTTAAGCAGAGAGAGAGAATTGTGTTAACACATACAAACATATATTGTACATGTTTATTTGTTGATTCAAACTCAACATTTGAAAGCACATTTACATGTCTGGCTGTAGCCGATTCCAGATGCTCAGGGTTCAAATCCCAATGCAAGCAACACGCCAATTTTTTTTTTTATCTTAGTGAAAAATCATCCGTGAAGTGCAAAACTAACGCCTTACTTTAATATGGGCGTATTTGAGTTAAATAATGTGTATACTTTTGAATACATTTTCATTTCATTTAAATACGTTTTTTATTTGATTTTACTAGTTTTATTTCCCTCAGTGTAGATAAAAGTTTCCAAGGCTGTACAAAGTTCACAAAAACTTCAAGAGATTTCCATCAATTACTCAGTTTCGAGTACGCAGTTCTGCTGTGCATTAAATTTTAGTTAAAATCCTTTTCTGTAAACATCCTTCAAGTGTTTTAACCAAGCGAAATCTGTGGGGAAATGCATTGCTTTTAACTGCCTACTTTCTCGCTCAGGCGGGCATTATTGAAAAGTCTTCTGAAGTGCTTTTGCGCAATAAAATAATAAGTTTAACAACCGCTCACCCGATAAAGAAAATTTTTGAAGATTATGCGTACTATGTTAGTATGTTCTATGTATGAATAACAACGCTTCATCCGCCTTCGACGTTACGTATACGCACAGTTGTGCAAATTTTTATATTTGTCTTTTAACGCCAAATTTGACCCTAGAAACGTGCCCTAATACATTCAAATGTCTAAAGCATCTGTCGTCGTTTGGTTAATAGAGTTATATGTATATATGCATATACATAGTATATGTATGTACATATTTATGATCTTATTATTGTAAAATGTATGTACATACATAGTTTAATTTATGATTACTCAGCTGTGGTCTTATCGCCAGGCAAAGTCTATCTTTGAGTGCCAACGCACTAATAAAAAGAGCTAAATAAATAGTTCACATCTCTCCATCTTAGAGTGGAAAGTTGCTAAGTCTATTTTTCTACAGGTGGGAAAAGAACTGCTTATAGCAATTTTCTTTAATTATTTTGCAATACTTGATACACAGCTAAACTCAATACGAATGAGAGGAATTCGATGTTAATTAAAGGATTTTGTAATACTTTGGTCTACCGAATTTTCGGTACCTCATTTGTAGTACTGAGTAAATTTGTCGTTTATTGAATTGAAACGGAAGAAAATATAATATGTGCCTTAATATTTTTGGAAACGATGCATTTTTAACTTTTCTTGCTTAAAAATTATAATCATATTTTGACCAGGCACCGGAGTGATAGTCAGCCGCAGCAGCCGTTCTTCTCTTCCATATCTAAATATTAGTTTTCACAAAATGTGTAGTTAGCAACTTTTCACTCTAAGCTAGCGATATGTTTATATGGGGGGCTTATTCTTTTAGCTGTCATAATGATAGATGTTTCCGATTTTAAGATAATCACATGTGTCCGTACGATATCTATGCATTAGAGTGGTTCACAAATTTTTTGAACTTAGTTTCAAAATGTTTTCTAAACTTTTCATACATTTCGTCTTAGATGTCGAAACGTTTTCTGCGAAGGTTTCCAGAGGTGGCCCATCGTCGATGAAAGTACACTCTAGAAAAGGCCAGCGTTTATTCTCACATTTAGACCACTTCATCGATGATAACTTCCTAGAATCGATTCCAGGTTCGACTCATCTATCGTATAGCATCCTAGCTAGCCGTCTGCACTTGAGAACATCGGAATCGCTGTCTGCTGCTTATTCTTATCTTCGTCCGTTGGGGTTTTTTTTTATCTTCACCTCTTCTTCGCTCAGCTGTAAGAACGAGTTCGGTCCCGGAACAGCGTTTACCAGATCTTTCATGTTTTTGGGCTTCGTCCTACGCGCCTGCCATGATTTTTGCCTTTCTAACTCGCGTAGTTTGTCACTTTGATTTTAGACCCACGTAAACGTAGAATGCTTCTGTGCTATACGCGCATAGTTGAGAAATTCTTCCATACAAATAGACCCGCCCTAACATACATAACTACGTACATACATATGTACATCTTGAGGGATTGTTTTTGAGCAAAAATATTGATTATTCGTTTTATCCGTACTTCACATCGTTCGCGACTATTGAATTAAAAAATGCTGATAAGAAAAGGCATTCAATTAAAAATTTTAATTATTTAAACGCATGGCAACAGCAGTGGCAAAATCTTTTTAAGGAAAAAGAGGCTTGTATAGACAAATGCTTTTACATAAATATTAACATAATTATTTCAAAACAAGAAAAATTTAAGTAAGCAAATAAGTAGTGCTCAAGGTTCAAACCCTTGACACGAACTTGAAATATTGTTGAAATCGAAATGCTGTAAATTGTGTTGAAAAAAAGGCGAGTAATTTTGCTTGGCAGCAGATAAGCGAGTATTAAATTAACGATTTTGCATCATTTTGAGTGGGGGGAATTTGCATATTTTACTGTGTTTTTTTTATTGTTATTTATAGATATTTTATTTATTATGTTGTTGCATTTTAGTATTTTGCATTTTAAAGTAAAATTAATGACGCCAGCTGTTGTTCTAATTTATTGACTACCTACGCATACATACACAAGTGCGGTTTAATTAAACTGATTTAAGTATGTATATGTATGTACATACCTATGTACATATGTAGGTTTGTAACTAAGTTGCCCGCTATTGACTTTTCGTACACAGACAATAAACAAACAGGTTATCATTGTTCATAGAATTTTAAGCTGTTAGCTGATAGCTGCTCTGCTGGCTGCTGTTCGCTGCCTGATTATCAACAAAGAATTTCGCAAATATTGATTTTATTTCAATTTATATTTTTTAATTGGAATCAATATGGCCGTTGTCTGTCGGGAGAGTATATTTGAAAGAAAAATAAAGTAATAAACCTATTAAATCAGCTTAATCTACATTCATTCACACAAAGCTACAGCGCAGCGCGCACTAAGAAGCAGACTAATTGCGAATCAGAGCATGTCGAGGAGTTTAGCATTTTTGCAATGTTTGCAAAATAATTTGCTATTATTATTTTTTTTAATCAGTTATGGAATTTTCACTCATGAGCAGTTATTAAAACTCTTGACATTTTTTCGTTTTAAATGCACTCATGTTACCTATTTTTTTCGTTACTTTTGCTTTTTGTTTTTAAATTTGAAAGCACTAAGTTTTTTTTTTAATAAAATTTAAGAAAGTTTTCTTCTATTTTTTCATTAATTTCTTTAATTTTTTCGTCAATTTGCGCTTTTTTTTATTTTGAAATTCATTAAGCAATTTACCAAACTCCATTTTATTTTTTACTTTTTTGAATTTATTTTTGAAACAACTTTTCAATATTTTTTAAATTTTATTTTACTTAATTCAATTTATTTTTATTTTTTATTTTATTTATTTGAATTTATTTCAGTTTTTATTTCCTAATTTTTGTGTGTTTAATTTTTTACTTGTTCCCCTTTTTTATTTTATTCTGTTGTTTCATGCTTTTCAATAATTTTTGTAAACCCACAGCACAAATGTTATAGATTATCAGCTTTTAATAGATCTTTACACATTGTATTTACACACAATTATATGGAAATCTACATATATAAAAATACTTGTTGATGTTTATAAATATGTATATGCACATTAGACCGTACCAGAAAAAAAGTTTGGCGTACAATTTCAAATCTATTGTACTTTTTCGAGACAATTTCGAAAAAGTTTGCGAACGTAGGAGTCGCCTTTTTACATTTTTCGTCATATCTGCGACATTTACAGTTAAATTTTAAAGTATGATACAGTGCACACGCGATAACGTGAACTAATTAAACACAATGGAGTTGTTTGCCATAATCACACCGCGAAAGAGAAAAACTTAGTTCGGTGAGACAAAAATATAAAAAACAAAAATTTGTAAACCAAACCATTTTTTTTATTTAATGTAATAATTTTATCACGTTAAGGAATAGTCAATGATGAAAAAAACTGTAAACTGTTTCTTGATATTTTTGTCGAAAGGAGAATTTTTTTTTATTCCAACGTTCATTGACCACAATGCACGTCATTATAGTACGTACACAACACATCTCAATTGTTATCACGCTAACCTAACACCCGAATAGTAGTAAATTAAAACTCACCAAAAAGCAATAAACTTTTGCTAAATAAGTATTTCAATTATTCCATTGTAACTATTTGAAAAAATTTGATACCGACGGAACAGGTGTTATCGAAAAATATAAAAACGTTACCCCTAGGTTCAGCAAAAAAAAAAAATGTCTTGCAGAAAATACATGGAACTCAGGGATGTACAGTGAACTTGCTTTTGGATTGCTTGTAAGGTGGTACTGTCTAATATACATACATACATGCATGTATATATATGTACTTGGTTTTGTGCTGATAATCTTCGCCCGAAAGGGTCAGTGACGGCATTCAACTTTCACAAATATCCGTCATCGCCGATAGGACAAAAGTGTGTACATAGTTGTTTCTACACACAGACAGCGCTTTATCGATATGTTTATATGCCAATGGATGTTTACGTTTTTAAGCTTATGTAAACCCAAAAGGTTCAAAGTGCTTGGAAAAGAAACTTATTTTTTTTTTATTTGCAGAGTTTTAACGGTCTTTAAAGAAAACATTTGCTTTAGTAATAAAATATATTGTTTGTAGGCCGAAGAAAAATTTCGGGCTCATTACGCAGAAAAAAGGGCGTACAAATTTCGTATTTTATTTATTCAAAAATATTTTATTTTGTCTCCGAGACTCTTAATTTAACAAAAATTAAGAATGTTAAAGAAATAATAGGGCAATTCATCTAAACGCGTAAATGCCTCGTAACCATGTAAACCTCATAATCGTGCATCGAAAAACTCTCTTACAGGTTCCTCCATTTCGAACAGAGTTTAAACATGTAGCACAAAACTGGGTGTAGAAGTTCAGTCTTAACCTCAATAGTTCGTATAAATCACAGCTTATTACCACATTTATGTAAACTTGCACCTAACCAAAAAAGTAGATGCCCTTAGCTGTGCTGGCTGACTTAACTGTGGTGAGTTCTTAAACCAAACATTAACAAAAAAAAATCAAAACAAATTGTTTACTCTCACACTCACACTGCCTCTTCCTCTATACCTCTCTTCTCTCTCTGTATCCCTACCACTCACCTTTGCATTTTCCATATATCCTTCGAAATTGCTGTAATCTTATTCGCGCCCGCATAGAAGTAACGCAGCTGTCTCAACTCCACCACTTGTTCGGGAAAGTGCATCAGCTGATTTCCGCTCAAATTAAGTTCCTTCAAGGCTGAATTGCGCATCACAAACGATTTGGGTAGCGATTTATTTGTGAGCTGATTATTTTTGGCGATCAATGTGACTAATTGCAAATTGCAAATAGCCTCCGGCAGCTGGGTCAAAGAATTGGAGCTCAGATCCAAAACTTTCAGATTGGTGAATTTTATCAAAGAAGGCGGCAGCTGTTGCAGCCGATTGTGATTGAGCAGCAACGTTTCGAAGTCCTTGTGTGTTTTGAGCGTCTTCTTTGCGTGCAAATCGTCGTCCAGCGTGATTTCGGTGAGGTTCATTCGTCCGTAATCGAGCGTTTTTTGCTCGCGCGAGTCCGTGTCGCTGCTGTCCGATGTGTAGACTTCCATTCTTTGTCGTTTAATTTTGTTGAAATTAGTTTTGAAATGTTTTTAGTTTTGATTTGTATTTTTGAGTGGATTAGTTTTCTATATTATTTTTTTTTTTTCAGAAAGTATTATAGTTTCGCAATTTTGTTTTTCTGCCAGTAATACAAAGTAATCAGCAATATTTCAATTTAAGCAAATTGCGCTTGAACTTAATAAATTCACAAATGCCGCGCACGTGTGCGTAAGTAGTTCTCCAGTGACTGTGATTAAAAGCTGCGGCACAAGTATTTATTGCAAGTGCTGTTTGCTCATTTAACCAACTGAGTAGTGGGCGCGTTGGCTTGTGGAGCGTAAGTGGAGCGCAACTAAGTGCTAAGAGATTGCCAGCTGAACGTTGCAGCGGCGTACGTTGCTAGAAAGCAAAAAAAAAAAATTAGTATTTCTCAATTCAATCTTGCGCTCAGCATGCTTCCGCACCACTTGACTAAAGCAAATCAAGCACTCAACTACTACTAAATGGTAGCGACAGCCGCTGTACTCGGGCCTCATGCAATCACCCCGACGAAATCAACTCGAATGCGAGTTCTGAACAGATCGTCGGATGATTTCATTCACTTGAGTGCTGAGAAGATTAGCAGCCACGTGGTTGTAATTTTGGAAGAGTCTCAAAAGTGAACTTGTTCCAAATTTGGCTTTAAGTAGTCCCTTTAGAATTAGTACGAGATGTATAGAATGATGACTAACCATATTGATAATGACATGCGATAAATATTTTAATGCGATTTCAATAAATATATACGTGTAGGGGGCCCAAAAAAATTAACAGAGGCACATCGCGATTATGATTATTTGGGTCATTTCAAGCATTTTTGTCCAAGAAACCATAGGTCTAAAATGAATTTCGAGCCAGCGATTTTTTCTATCTAGTTTTTTTTTCAGAAAGTGGCTCACCTGTTGAAACAGCCGTATTGAAAACTAGCCAAATGTGTATCTGAGGGTTTTTGGGGTCGAGGAATTCATTTCTGGCCTTAATTTTTTCTTTTGAGAGCCGCCAGAGGGCGCTTCTGTACTTTTTTTTGGATTTCAACGCTTTTTTTCAGAAAATCGACAATATTGTTGCGAAAATCCACGAAATTTGACTTTCTCATAATGCAATTTAAATTTTTAAATAGCCGAAAATGTTCAGCGTTGAAATTTTTTTATATTTTTTTTGTTATTTATTTTTTTATTTTACGTATTAAACACTGTATGAAAATGAAAACACACAGTATGAAAATGAAATCGCATGCTGTCACACATGTAATTTTTCATACAATATGTCGATAAACAGCATTACCAAATCGCTGGCTCGAAATTCATCTTGGACAAAAATCTATTTTGAGATTTTTTTTTATATTTATTTATGGCAATATCGATAAATATATCGATTACAGTTTCAATGACCAAAGAATTTATATCTGTTCATTAATACATCCATTAATTTCGATAACATTGTCTATGAACATGTATATCGATATATTTTCTATGAATTTTACATTCAAAACTTCGCACTTGCCCAGTATTCTCACAAAAAGCAGTAGTTCTATACAGTGCTGAACTAGTTCGTTTCTCTACAGAGCTGCGATTGCCAAATATGTACATCTGTATTTATCCGAATATATATATGTGCTTATATATAAGCATATATGTACATACATACATACATACGTGCATATGTAATTTATTTCATTACTTAAACACTGTAAATATGATAAGGGATCTATAAGAAGACTTATTAAATGAGAAGTGGTTGGAAAAACCAATCGATTTTTTTAGTCATAAATAAAAAAGGGCTATCATTATTTCATATTGAAAATCAGAATAGTAGCTTAAGTCGGGAAGTTGGCTTTAGTATAATGCGGCATTCCCTTTATTCTTTAAACGACAAGGAATTTCTCGATGAGACCTAATAAGATTATTGACTTGCTACTATCGGAACTATTTCTTTCACGTTTATTTGCCAAATCTAGTGAGCGCTAGTGAGTCATTCGCAATCATCGTATGCTGCGAATGCCGCATTATACTACAGCCAGCCTTTCGACATAAGCTACTATTCCATATGAACGCAGATATGCATGTTCGTTTGGACAAAAAACTTGTAAAACTAGCAAGAAGAGAGCACAATTTTGACATTTCATTTGGAGGGGAAGTTGCGAATTCGTGCCAGCAAGAAATTGCAAGCAAGATTGTGGCAACTGGTTGCCGCGTTTTACTAATGATAGAAGTATGTAAATATTTTTTTGTTTAATTAATTTACATAATTAGTTCCAACGATTTTAAAGGTACTCGGCTGAAAAAGCTGTAGTCGTAATCGGAACGCAGTTGACACCACTGTCGATGTACACTGCCGGAACAAAGTATTGGCACAGCAAATTTTTCACAATATATGCAAAAATTTTTATTCTAATATTTTTCCGCCAATTTTGTATAAAAAATATGGTTCATTCTACAACAAAAAACATATAATTCCTAAACTTTGTGCAAAACCCGCAAAAATTAAGCAAATTTCCATGCAAATTTTCAACTTTTGTATCAGATGTTCTAGATATTTTTTGAGTATGCAGATTTGTAGCCCAATCAATTTTATTATAATAAAGTACAAGTTTTAAGTAGCTAGGAATTACCGTTGTGTTTTGATTTTTTTTTTCACGCAGCCTCTTCCATAAAAACAATTTTTTTTTTCGAAAATACTTTATATGGAGAAAATGCAAAACCCCTTCAAAAAAAAAATATCAAAAATCAATTGACTAACTCCGAACTTGTATTTTTTTTACTAGAATTTAATGGGCTGCAAAACTTCATACTCGAAAATCATTCTAAAAAATCTGATTAATAAGTTGAAAATTTGCGGAATTTTCGGGAGTTTTGCACAAAGTTTAGGAACTATATTTTTATGTTTTTTATTGTAGAATTAACCTTTTTTTTTTATACAAGATGGGCGAAAAAATATTAGAATAAAAATTCTTGCATATATTATGAAAAATTTGAAACTTTATAATCCGTAATTGATACCAATAGCCGCGACAACCTTCATACGCATTTCTTATCCTACTTCCGAAAAGAAATTTCGAAAAGTAGCAGCTAAAAAGTCCTTGTAGAATAGAAATTCTTGTCGTACCAATCCAAGGCAAACGCTCCACGTGCATAGGCGCTTGATGGGGGGTACTTTCGGGTGCTGTCTGGAGATAAGGTGGGTTAAAAGTGTTTTTTTTTTTTACCCAAAATACATCAATTAAAAATAATCGCTATCGCGGTTTATTACTTTGTTTTTCTAATTACCTAATACACTCACATTCCACTTATCAACTAAGTATCTATGTACATATGTATGTATGTATACCTAATACTTGTATGTATGAAGGTACATATGTACTTACGTATTTGCGTCTTTTACTGATAATAGTTAGTATTCCTATCAAATTTAGTTTGCTAGGCGACAAATAGTCGTTATATACATACATACATATGTACATTAGTGTGGTCCAAAAATAGAGAGGAAACTCAACTTTTTGGAATGTCTCTGCTAACTCGATATTTTTTTTTTTGGGTTTGTGTTAAAAAAAAAAATAATTTTAAAACAGGGTTGCCAGCTATTTGCAACCTAAAAACTATTTAGAGGCCCAAAAGATTATTAAAATTTCTACATTAGAACTAAAAGCGTTGAAAGATATTTAAGAAAATATTCTAGAATGAGGTTTCCATCTTAGAAAAAAAAATAAATATAACAACGATTACTAAAAAAGTTAAGCTTATTCAATACCACAATACTACATGCATACATATGTGCGTGGCTACGCAGAAACCATTAAGGTCCCCAGCGTTACGAGATAAACTATGACCACATTAAACAGCTAACCACTTGGTATCAGGACTAATGTTGAAGATCATCGCAGTCCTCTTGGCAAACTGGAACACTTTGTTCCTATCCTATCCTATTTTGGCGGCAGCTTCCACATTAGGCATATTCCTAGAAAGCTTATTTGCAGTCTGCTAAGGACAGGACACTCGCAGAGGCATCGGCATCCTTACTGCCCCTGATATAGGTGTGCCCCGGAACCCTGTAAAGATATACGTCTGCGCCAGTATTTACCACATCTAAAGCTTACCTTCACTCGTATCACAATTCTTGAGAAAGTGCTGTGCGATAGAAGCGCCTTTATCGCAGCCTGACTGCCGATACACAAATTTTCCCGTTTATTTTTTCTCAATATGTCAGAACATGATTTTATAGCAATTCCAAAACTTTAAAACACCGCGGCACGGGTAAATATTAATCGATCTCAAAATATAAAAATATGGGTGTACTTATGCATGGGCGTAGCCAGGTAGGGGCAGGGGGGTGTTCGAGGCCCCCCCCCCCTAACTTTTAAATTTTCCTTATATATATATAAAATAGTACCCTGAAATGCCAGCTTAATAGGGTCGAACCCCCCTAAATTTCATTCTGGCTACGCCGATGTACTTATGTATATATAACCCCTTTCGATGTCATGACTCATGAGCTTTACCGATGGTTTTATTTCCACCTGTGAAATCTCTGCCAAGCGGAGGTAGATACAAGATCGCATTTAGGATCTATGACGGCGCCAGACAAAGAAGGTGCGCTTACACAATTTTGCGCTATTTATAAGCATACTTAACCCCTTCCTTCATTTAGCCATCTGAGAAGTAGATGCGTATAACATAAGCATAGGCCCAAAGCAGACCAGACATACGGGGTTTCTTAATATTTCGACTGCAGCGCCACCTGGCCACCTGGTAGAAGCATTGCTTATCATGAAATGAAAACGCTTTATGAATTTCAACCAGATAGTACAATAAATACGGATTTTCTAAATAACTCGACTTCAGCGCCACCTAACGGGTCCGCAACCGTACTTTTCATCACGCTGGAAAAAATTTGGGCCTGCCTAATACTTGTACATATGTACATATGTACATAAGTATATGCCTAAAATTGATCACCCATACTATAAACTAATCTAGATTTACTACCGAGTATTTATGTACATTAGACTGCATCACTCTCCATACAAAAGAAAATCGGTAATGTTTTTTCATTGGGATTGTAAAATCTAATATATTTGAAGGTTTGCACCAAAATATTTCGGAAAAATATTAAGTTTTACGTGTGCTTGACCAATTCAAAAATCTAGTTTTTTTTTAAATAGAAATAGTTTTTTTAAGTATTTTTTGAAAAACATCACCTCAGATGACAAAACAGCTTAAGCTTAAAAAATTTGCATAAAAAAAAATATTTAAAAAAAACCTTCAACGGAACCATAGTAATAAGATTTTTAATGCTGGTTTGAAATACTTTCAAAGAAAAACTTGAATAACTCAGCCAAAATTTTACCGATTTAGATTTATGAGGTAGCATTGGAAAGGCATTTTCTCACCCTTTTTATTTCTTTGCAAGTGAGCTCGTTCAAGGCATGAAAGAGAAAGGTAAAATAACCGAGCGTCATGTTTTGGTATTTGATAGAGACGCTAATGAGTGTTTTGCAAAGAAAACAAGTAAGAAAGTCTAAGTTCGGGCAG